TGGAAAATCTGGTCTCAACAGATGAGTTGAATTCTGAAATTGAACTTAACGACAAAGACACATTGACTGGAAATGAAAGTTTCCCTCCTGTGAACTATGAACATTCTGAACTACATCTGATAAAGGCCTCTCCAGAAATATTTATACAAGAACCGAAGGAGAGCGTCGAATTGAAACCGATTTATGAAGAAGCTAAAATAAAATCTTCTAAAAGTATGAGGTATATGTTGAAAAAAAGGCCAAATGCTGTTTTTCAAAAAAAGAAATCGTGATGAACACAAAGACTATTGATTGTTGTTCCTGAAAAATATCGGAAGCTTTGATGACTATTTTTGTCATGAAGAAACTGCAGCTCATCTTAGAGCAACAAAGACCAAAGTTGCATTATTCAAAAGTTTTTATTGGCCAAATTGTTACAAAGATGTCGATAATTTTGTTAAAACTTGCGCAAATGTCAAAGAATTGGAAAGCCGCAAGATAAAAAGAAAGCACCTTTGAAAATTGTCTCTGTTATCACAGAAATATTTTCAAAAATAAGTGTTGACACTTGTGAGCCTCTGCTCGTGACACCTTCAGGAAATAAGTATCTTATAACTATAATCTGCATGTCTTCAAAATATCTGGATGCAGTTCCTGTCACAAGTCTTTGTTCAACGATGATTGTTGATGTTTTCCTTCATATTTTTAGTCGAATGGAATTTCCAAAGGAGGTTCAAACCGACCAAGCTACATATTTGACGAGTGTGCTGACATCGAATTTCCTAGAAAAATTCGAAATTAAAGTTGCACAAAGTTCTGTTTAGCACCCTAAAGCAATTCTGTAGAGAGGATGCATAGAACTTTAAAAGGAATTCTTCGAGTCCTATGTCTAGAATCTGGTTCAGACTGGGATAAAATTTTATCTCAGGCTTTATTTGCTCTTCAAAAGATGCCCGCAGAATTAGTTCATGGCAGAAACTTAAGAATTCCAATTACGCTATTGTATGAAAAATTACACCTGGTAAAGAAGAAAATACAATAGTGGACTATATTTTTGAACTAATGAATCAAATGAGGAAATGTCAAGAACTTGCTATTCAGCATACGGAAGGAGTCAAAGAAAGGCAAAAACTCTGTTCTACGGCTTTGCGATCATACCATACATTTCAAGAAGGAGGCTTAGTTCTAGTTGTAGCTCCATCGAAGCCAAACAAACTGTCAGTTAAATGGGTAGGTCGTTCAACAATTATCAGAGACATATTGTGTAGTCGAGTTTCATGAGAGAAACAAAACTCGGGTGTACCACATTGATATGCTGAAACCATATTTTCAACGAGCAGAAAATATAAACTTGCTATGTTTAGAAGACAGGATAAACGGCTATGAAGATGAAATACCGAGTCTAAATTATAGCACAGATACTGAAATGTCTGAAGTTTTGCAAGGCATCCAATTGAATTCACTATTATCTGAAGACCAACGAAAAGATTTAAAGCAATTGATATACAAGTATTCCTGTATTATCTAATGAACCAGGATGTACTGACCTTACTGAACATGATATAGAATTAGAAGCAGAAAACCAATATGCGCAAAACCTTACTGAATGTATGCCAAACAAACCAAGATATTAAAAAGGGAAGTAGAAAAGATGATAAAGCTCAAAGTAATAGAACCAGGTGAATCACATTTTGCCTCTCCACTCATACTGGTTGAAGTTCCTGGAAAAGAGGCAAGACCATGCATTGATTACCGTCGCTTAAACAAGGCAACTAGGACACAGTATTTTCCCTTGCCAAACACATTGAACATTTAGTGGAGAAAGTGTCATCTGCTAGATATATAATTGTTCTAGATCTTACTCAAGGTTACTGGCAGATCCCACTAACTAAAAGAACCCAGTGTTATGCTGCTCTTGTGACAAGTTTTGGAACATTTAAACCAATTTTGAGCCCGAAAGGTTACCTTTCGGACTAAAAAATGCACCATATGATTTTAGCCGCTTGATGGGGCAGGATTATTAAGAAACTGTGAAGAGTTTGCTCTATCCTATATTGACGATGTTGCAATATTCTTGCAAACCTGGAAAGAACATTTGAAGCACTTAAAAATTATTTTGAAGAAGATGAAAATTGCTAAACTGCATATTAAGCCTTCGAAATGTCAGTTTGCTCATATGACTGTCAAATATCCAGGTCATGTAGTAGGACAAGGTCAAAGAAGACCAGCAGAAATAAAAATCTAAGCCATAAAGGACTTCCACAAACCTACCACAAAAACACAGGTCTGGTCATTTTTAGGAGTTGTGGGATATTATCGAAGGTATATTTCTGAATATTCTGCGATTTCTGCACCACTGAGAGATTTTTTAAAAGGAAAATGTTGCAAATCAACCATAAATTGGACTGATGACTGCCAAAACGCTTTTGATGAACTCAAGAAACGGTTAACACAAAATCCAGTCTTGTATAGTCCGAACTTTTCTCAACTATTTATCATTCAGTGTGACGCTTTGAATATTGGTATTGGCATTGTATTATCACAGGTAAATATGCTAAAGGCAAAGAACATCCAATAATATTTCTTAGCAAAAAGTTTTCACCTACTGAACAGAAGTACAGTACAATCGAAAGGGAATATGCTGCCAAAGGGAATATCTGCAGAATAAAAGTTAAAATTCTACTTAGATGGACTTCATAAGTTCATTATTCAGATTGATCATAATCCTCTAGTATGGTTGGATAAAAACACTGGGACTAATCCTAGACTATTACGAGGGCTTTGATCTTACAACCTTTTAACTATGAAGTTGCCCATAGAAAGGGGAAGCCACATCAAAATGCTGACAGTTTAAGTCTATCCTATCCAAACATCTCACAATTAAAAGTATACATTCTAGGTAGTTTAAAACTTCATTGTTTAAATTTTTGCAATATTAGAATATTGCATTTTATATGTTTATTTATAATGTTTCCTTTGAAAGCACTTGTACGCATTTGGTCAGATATCTAATTGTAATTGTTACAGATATGCTTAAACATCCTTCTCTTGTTTAAAAAAAAAAATAATAATATATTTAAAATGAAAAATTTTCTTGAAAGTTCCATCAATTTGAAAGAAAAAAACTTTTCTTCGAAAAGTTCCCTGTGAGGGAAGGAATTTAAGACTGTAACATATTTGCGTTGCTATACTGCCAACATAATTCCACTAAGAAATGTAAATTACCGCAGACGATTATCCGCAAAGAATATCTGCAGACGATATGCATGCTTAAAAATGTTTTTCAGTTATTCTGTAAGTTTTGACCAATAAAGTTAGTTGTTCGTTCAAAAATGGCAAAATTTCTTTAAAACTTTATTATAGTATGTATTCAGTTCATGAAATGCATGTTGAATAGGGATACTTAGTGACTGATTGCTCAATTTAATTAGTCTAGTATCACAAGAGTTCATGGATAAATTGGTATTCTTATCACTGACTGCCATTCCAACTGGAAGCACTCTGTAAGAATTCTGAAAGTTTGCTGAAATTGGCCAATCAGATGATACTATTGGGTCATCCAGAAAGTTCTGTCATTTTTTTAATAATAAATACAAATGAAGCAATGCAAAAAGATAAGATTTCATTGAATTACACAAGTGCCATTTTTTTGTGGCTTTTTGCTGTCTTCAGGTAGCTGAAAAATTCTTTTTTAAAAAAGTCATTAGTTTTTTCCCATGAAGTTCTTGAGACACTGTTTTACAGTCTTCAAAAAAGTGAACCCCTGGCTGTTCAGAGAATTTTCAAGTGATCTGAAGAGATGAAAATCCGAGGGGAAAAGGTTAGTGAATATATAAGGGTGACAGAAAACATTCCATCCATACTCAGTAAGATTTATGTGATATTCATTGAAATGTTGGGCCAAGCATTGTCCTGATGAAAAACAATTTGGCGATTTATCCATTGTTCTGAGCACTTTGCTTCAATTTTTGCTGTAAAACTGCCTTTGGAAGTAATATTTTTCTGAATTTATTCTCTGATTTAGTGGCAACAGTTCATAGTATGCAGTTCCTTTGTACTCGTACAAAAAGCATTACTTTTTTTAGATGGAGAACCCCCTCTCATTGTTACTAAATCAGGTTCTTATGGCTTTCCTTGTGAACATTTTCTAATAGCATTATTATGATCTATTCACTTCTCGTCCCAAGTAAGAAGCCATTTACAAAAAGGAAATTTTTAGATTTCTTTTCTGTGAAGAATCGCATGCTGAAATTTGAGCAAGCATACATTTCTGTTCTGTTAAAATATGGGGTACCTGTACATTATAACAGCTTACATACCCAAGCTTCTTTAAACAATCATGCAGTGTACGTTTTGGTATTTTTGTTCTGTTTAATAGTCACTGAACTATATAATGTGGATTTTCAGTTGCAACTACTTTTAACAGGTTCTTGTTTACAGAGGATGGTTGTCTAGAGCTGGCATCATCTTTAAGGCCACTTTTCAAACCTCATTCGAACTGTGTCATTGGAAACAACACTTTCTCCATATGTAGCACATATTTTACATGCTGTCCAACTAGCATTTTTTTTTTCCTTTTAAAAAAAGAGCATAATATGATGAAAATTAATTTTGGGATTCTCTATTCTTAGCACTTCACTGAAACAAAATTTATGCCACAACGCATGGTAGAATTATGCAGCATAACCAGAAGAGATCATATTTAAACATATGCTTTGATCAAGATTGTTCCTTATTAGCAGTGATAAAATAATTGGAAGAAAACATGTCTTGATTTGAAAAACTGCAGATCTGTCTGGATGATTCTATAAAAAGTCTAACAGTAGAAATTAGTATGAAAATACTCTATCTCATTGGAAAATTAAGAATTTGTTATTAATAAACAGTAAAGTTAAAATACAATAAATAACTAATAATTCAAATTCACTTTTATTCTCATTAGAGGCTATGTTTAATTAAAAATTATAAAATAATTATATCTAAAATATGTTTTTTTCCCCTCTTTTGCTTTTCTTTTAAAGGTAGCAGTAAATGCAACATTCCGAGCAATGAATATTTCTCCACGATCTCCAAAGCTGTTACCTGTTCAGGCATCAGAGCTTGCCCGTAGACGTCAAATTAAAAAAGGTTTCCAGGTTTAAGAAAGATGTCTTCTCAATTTCGCCTGTCACCTACTTGATGCCAGGATTGTGTATTAAAAGCTAAATTAGATTACCTGATATTTTAATTGTGGTTAGTCATGCAGCATTTTAAAAATTCGCTGGTGTGTTTTTGCTCAATGTGTTTATGAATTTGATATTTATTTTTAAATAGATATCAATGCATTCCTAAATATCATTAGTAATTTAGTGCCAGTCTTCTTAAATTTACTTTCTAGAGAGAAATTTTTAAAATGTGATCAAGCTTTTCTTATAGAAATTTGTATAACATATGAATATATTTTCCAGTGAACATATATTATTGTTATATTAAATTTTAAGAGTTAAAAGAAATCTTGTTCAAAGTAAAAATGAAATATTTTACTCAGCGAATATTTATATAAAACTATTTTTATACTAATGTTTTTATGAGAAATGATACTGTTAATAATGACATTCCAGAAAGATTGAGTTACTGTTAAAAAGTGAATGCTAAAATTTTGAAGCTCATTGCCTTCTTATTTTATTCTGAATGCTGTTTTCTGGAGCCTAGAATTCTTGGCTTTATAAAGAAAAGAAAAGAAAAAAAAAAAAAAAAAAAAAATCATTTTTAGTGCCCTTTAGAAATTTAGCCTATGATGAACGGTATTTTGTTTCTGAATGTTAATTTATATGCTTTAAAATGTCATTCCATTTTTACTTCAGTTATTTTTTCTTTAAATAATTATTTTATGTTTAATTAAAATATTTGCATTTCTGGTGTGTAATAGGTTTTTTAAAAATTACCTTATTTTTTGTATAATAGTCATTGATGTCATGTGCATGAATGATAATAGTTGTTGATGTCATAATGTGTGCATGAATGCATATTATTATCATTCAATCATTCTAAATTATGCATTTGTAATTAGTTTTTTTATCAAAATATTGCCAAAATGTGAGTATTGCATCAGTTTTGAAAACTGTGTTTCATTTACTGTATATTAATGTGTATTATATTTTATATTATTTTTTTAGAAGTCTGTGATAGTGTTGTCTTTTTTGTTTGTCTCTTTTAATGCATTTATTGTTTAGGATGAATTTTGTAGCCCCCAGCACTTATAAACTTTTCATGCACAATTTTGCCAAACAGCATAGTCAATTAACCAAGTCGTGTATTATCAATGTACAATTTGTATAAATATTGTTAACAAAGTGCCAAATGCTTGTATTTGGAGCATTTCTTTTTGTAATATTGTGATTGTAAAATAGTAGTCAAATCATGTTATAGTTACTGTGTTGTTGACTTGTTAATTCATAAAATCATAACTTAATATATTAAAACATATATTTCTTACTGGTTTTGGGACCAATAGAATAAAGCATTTTTAAAGTAAGTGGTTTATTGAATTTGAAAAAATATTAAATATCGATGTGTATATAAGAAAAAAATATTAATCAACCAGGTATATTCTGATCTTTTTTTATCATTATAATATTGAAATAGGTAATTTTTGGAACAATTTATAAGAATTTTTAACTTTTTTGATTGATATTAAGCAAATGCATCAGTTTTAAAATTACAGATTAAAAGTAAACCAGTATCATATTATGCATAATATTCAGATAACTCTATTGGGCTGAAAATGAATGAATAATTTTCTTATTCCATGAAAATTCCATTTGTATTTCTTCCAGTAGCTGTATTGTGAAAATTATTTGGAAAAAATTTATTAACCAGCAAATCAAATATTTTTCATATTGTTAAGTCTATGATCAGACAGATTTGTAGTTACCTTTTTCATATTACATCAACCTTATTGATGCTAGTAGTTGCATGGGTATTTCAAATAAATTTGAGTTGCAGTATAATCTTGTTCCTTGCCATTCATACACTTCTGAAGTACTAGTAGTGTATTGTTTAACCATACGTTTTGGTAGTAATTTTATATTGTAAGGTGTTAAAACAATATCAATCTTTCAGAAATTAATTTCCTTTTTCATACTTATGATTGTTAAGCGAATTTTCATCGTTTTAAAAGTTCCATTTATCTTTTTGATCAATAATGGATTGTTTATGAAGAATTTTGGATCTAAATTTATAACCAGAATTAACTGTAAAAAGTATTAAAACACAGATTTTTTAAACTTTTATACCTTTTGGTAATATTTTATGGTATAAATCATTGTTTGTAGAGGGGATAATTGTTTTATATACCTTCAAGTATGTGTGATAACATATTGATCTAGGGGTGGGAAATTGCTAAAAATCATTTTATTTTCGAGAATTTGAGAAATCACTTGTCTGAAACAAAATATTTGCCTTAAGTTTTTAGTGCTTGTCTCTACTCTTTTTAACGTAATTTAATATTTTGTTAAATTTTGTACTGAATCATACAAAAGAAATTTTGAGCCTCCTTTTTTTCCCAATTTTATTCAAATGTTTCTAAGTTTTTTTTTTTTTTTTTAAACAGGGACTATTCTTCCTCAAATTTTATCTTTATAGTAAAATTTTAATATATGTAGCAGATGTCTTTCTTCCTTCTGGAGTTATAAAAATGGCATTAGCAATGCTTCTGTAAAAATTTGCTCATATCATTGATCAAAACAAATTATTAAACAGGATAATTATACTTATATATATCGATATGTTTTAATGTCTGCAATTCTCATTATTTTTTCATTATGGATGCATTTATTACCTAACCTTTTCTGTTTAAATGATTTAAACTAAAAGATAATGGCATCATATTCAAGAGTTAATAAAAATAATTAGATTTACAGACTGAAAGATAAAAACTGTGTAATACACATCGGTACCAGTTTAAAATGTTTGCTAAATAAAATAATTTTATAGCATTACAAATGATTATTCTGTACTAAAGGTATATAGTGTATGGCATTAAAAACAGCTTTGATAATTATATTTATTCCCTCACATAAATTTTCCCTAGAGTTTTTAGTGTATGATTTAGAAGAGTGTAAAATGTATGGACAAAAAAGTATTTTGTGTAAGTAAAAAAAAAAGCTATTGAAATTCGTAAGTGCTTTGAAATAGATAATATGAGTATGTCTTTATTTGTATTTTTTATCTGCTGTGTTTATTACTCAAGTTATCTCTTCAGAAATAATATAAACAACATATTTTCCCTCTCCTGGTTTTAAAGGATAAAATTAGTAGAAAAAGGGGGATACATGAATAAATGCAGCATTTACTCCAGCAGTGCAAATGCTATAAAATTATTTATTAGATATAAATTACATCATATGTAATATAGATTATTCCAGTTGGATTAAAAATAAGCATATGCTTATTATGAATTAAGTAGTGTTGTTTTTAAATCATACACTGTTATGCATAAACTTCTGATTTGAAAGTTAAAGATTTTATACATTATAGTATATAATAGTAACACTGTCAGAACTGGTGTTTCATCAGATCATGTGGATGGTAAATTAAAATATATTATGCTACATATATTGGCAACACCTCTGTTTATCAACATTCTCAGTTTATGTAGCTTATAAAAACTCTTGTAGTTGTAACACAGATGTGCAGAAACAAAGCCTAGCCTAGACTCCAACTTCAAAATAAAAACTTTCACTCCTCTATAAAATTGTGGAAAAACTTTTTTTTTTTAAGAAAGCAAGGGGGATGGAAGTTTTTGTGTAAACCAGTTTGTATTAGAGAGACTAATGTTTGCACTTTTTTGGAAGTTTTAAGAATTTAAAAAAAAAAAAAAAGTCAGTAAAATGCACATTAATTAAATCAATTGATATATAACAAAATCAATGATGTTTGAAAGCAAAAACATATCCTTATTACAAATGAAATAAATATTAGCTGCTATTTTAACAGTTAATTTTCAAAAACAATTTAGAAATTTTTCATACTTCATTTTTATGTCTAATTTATCATAACAAAAGTTAGTTTATTCAATTTTGTTTAAAAAAAAAAAGGTTGTAACTTTGCACAATTTTTTACTTTTTTTATAAAGATTGTTTTTGCTATCCGAGTTAAATATTTTATCTGTGTATGTTTTTTTTTAAGTTTTACAAATGGTAACAATATAAGTAATATGTGTAATTGGGTGTTCTAAAAGTGTGAACAAAATGAGTAAAATTTTCTACAGCTAGTTCGTATTTAAACTATTGTTTAGACTTTTTAAACTATATTCATCGTTCTTAAATAAATATGCTAACTAAATGGGATGATCTCCGATTTTCTTCTTTAGTTGACGGAGTGTTAAAACTATTTTTACTAAAATTTTCAAGTCAAATTAATGACTGCTATATTTCATTGATTCTTTAGATGCCATTAACTTTAACATCATCTAGCAGTGTTGTTCATCATACCCTTGTCAATCAGCATTAGAATTTTCAGCAATTCCTTACCTCCATCTTAGTGTCGGTCTGCTTCACTTTCAGATTCAAAGTCTTTACCTTTATTATCTTAAAATATACTTCCTTCTGAATCATCAAAAACATACAGGATACAAAAATTTTTAAATGAAATTTAGTATTTTTTAATCAGTCACAAAGGTGTTGATATATATTTTACCAATTTTTTAAAAATTTTATGAAGAGACTTAAAGATTTCACACAATATTTAGTCATTTTTTGACCAGCTAAATACTTCAAATTTAAGATAATGTAAATCAGTTTTTTAGAGATTTTGTACTGGAAGTTCATCTTAGAATCAAAGAAATAAGGTATTTAGTGTGTTCTCCCTTGGAAAAATAAATAATACTTTCCAATATAAAATTTTAATACAATTAATTATATGTACACTGCGTAAAAAAAGGGGGGACAGTTCTATATCTCGCGTTCTACTGGGCCAGTTGACGAAATTCAAATTGCGGTTTTCATGTCTCAAAAGCACGACTTAGGATATATATTAGATTTTTATATATAGCATCATTCTAACATAGGTATTTTGATACAAAATCGGACTTTTTCTGAATCGACATGCCAGTTTTTTTCCATGTTTCGATTCTATGACTCAAATTATGTCTGACTGCCAAGTTTTGTAAAAATCGAACGAGTAGATTTAAAAAAATTAGTCTCAAAATTTTAGCTCCTTAATGTTAATTAAATTTGGTATATATTTATTAATATCTCATTTTTTATTAAACTGTTTTGATTCTTCCTTTCACATTTCAAAATTTAGGTTCATTCCAAATAAAATTCACCCATTTTTTATGATTTATTTTGTAAATTTGTATTTTAAAATAATTTTTATAAATTTTTCGAAAAACATTTTGAATTATAACCTATAAAATTTTACCATCTTAAAGTAGGTGTATTTCTAAGCATACCTGCAAAAAATTAGACATTCAAAATTTTCTAAGATATACACGAATTTACATATTTGCACGGTTTACAATTTGGAATCTTTTATTGAGCAATAATAACACCAAATGTCGTTTATGGATTTTGTTACAGTGCCACAGCTATTTTTGACCTTAAATTTCAAATAGAGTATTACGGAGAATTAATTATATGAAATTTTCCCCTCAATGATGCATAATAAATATTTATTAATATTAAGCTATTTTTTTAATTATAGATGATATTATTCAAATTTTTAACTTTTTTTTAAATATTTGTAAGAGTAAATTTTTACCTTCGCCGTGCTATCGTCTGCTACTTTAACTTCATTTAAATTTAATTGTCTAAAACAGTGAAAAGTTCGTTTGATGTTTATTTTCACAATGTTTTTAAGTAAACAGGATGTTGACAGCTTGTGTCATGTCCCAGCTTTAAAAAAATATACATGAATATACATTTTTACATTAATCCTCTTAGAAAGAATGTTTTAAGTATTAATTTTCTCCCATGTTGTAGATTATATAAAAAGCATGTTCTTTAATATAGAAATTATTAGGCTTAAAAACTCTAAATAATGTAAATTGGACTGTTTCCGCCGCCTATAAGAATTGGGTCACTCGGTGATGCAGGATAAGTGTTGCAAGAGTGATTTATTTCTTCCTCGTTTAACAAAAATTTTTAATTCAAATATTTATCCTTTGGCCTTTGCTTTAAACTTTATTTATTGTTAAAATGTCTAGAAAATGAAAGCTGTCTGCATCTCAAACACATTTGATGCAAATGATATTTTAAAATATTTGACAAGGATGCAAAATTTATGGAAGTGTAACAATCTAAAAATCTTAATTTTCTTGTGTCAGCACTGAAAACAAATGTAGAAGGAAATTGGGAGGGGAAGCAAACATCTAAAGAGGAAGCTACTTCAGGGAAGTTGGGTGTTCAAAGAGAAAACACAGAGACGTGTATACCAGCTAATAGCAGCAATTGAATTTGTGCTAACGGAAAAGACAAAAACGATATCATTGCAGATTAAAGTAGAAGAGCTACTGGTTTTCGACTATATGGTTGTATAAATTTAATTTACTTCACAGGACATCATATCGTATCATAAATGGAGCATCCCATG